GCTTTTACAACTTTATATTTATCATGTTGATGAAACTTCACAAATACAGTATTCAAAGTTTAATATATATTAAAAGATTCATTTACAATAATTACAATATAATATTTTTATAATTTTTTTTTTTTTTTTAAACTTTAAATAAAAATTCTTTGTGAATTCATCTTTGTAATTTTGTAATTCTTTTTTTAAACTTTAAAACTAGAACCAAAATTCCAAGAATTCTTTTTTTTGTGATAATTAACTTTTTTAGTCGGAACTTTACGGACGGCGCATCTTCGTCTTTTAGAATCGAATGTATTCGTAAAACTCTCGTGATACATTCGGAATTTGATTAAATGCATAAACAATAAAATGCCTATTTCCTTGGAATACAAAATGTTTCATGCTTGTTAATCGTATTATATCATTAGTTGAACTTACTACCGAAATATTTGACACCCAACGTATAAGCATATATGCATGGCATTACGTATTAGCGATACGAAGAATTATTATTTGATCATATGAATAAAATCCAATGTCACGTGAATATGGTATTTCGGTTAACGTTTTTATAATACAGTATTATAATACAGTATATAATATAGAATGTTAACTAAAGATGGTGCTTTAAGCATAGAGGTCATCATGACATAATCAAAAGTTACTGTACATCCATACGCATGTAGTCACTATGTAACTATGTATGCAGCTGCTATAAATTCGTAAATAAATCATTACAATTCTTGTTACTTTATATTAAATATTTTGTTGCTTGTGAACGGGCCATGAGAAATTTTAAACACAAGAATATGACAAGAATGTAACAAGAATGTAACAAGAATATGACAAGAATGTAACAAGAATGTAACAAGAATATAACAAGAATGTTTCACTTGAAAAAAAGTTATTTTTGTTACCTAATGGCTAACGACTCTGTGGGTACATAAGTTTAAATTTGAATTCTAATGCTTCATAAGTTACTGCACTGTACGTACGTACGTACCAGTCAATGATTATTTTCACTGTGCGGACTGTGCGCGGGATGCCGCACAAAAACAAATTAACATTTTGTATATAGTATGCACAATTGCAAAAATAGTTGTTCTATTTTTTTTTTCGCATAGAAAAAGTTTACAACTTGTGCGGCATCCGTACAATAGATATTAATTGAAAAATTAACACTGGTACCAGTACGTAAATCTGTAGATCATTTATTTATTGTAATTAATAGATATTGCCATTTATATATGTTAAAAATCCATATTTTTCGATCCTTTTTTTCGATCCTTTTGTGTTTTGTAACACTAAAAGAATCTTATGACCATCAACTATCGCTATGAATTTACTGTGTAATCCTTCAAATTTCTAGTACCTGTACTATTTTCTATACAATCACTTTCTTTTTTATCAATTGAAGTTTAGAGTTAGGGGGTAAAGATTTGCAAAAAAAAATTGTTATTAGTACGCAGAAAGTAGCTTCCTTGAGATAAGGTGATGAATTTGAGATTAATATATAGGAAAAAAAAGTGATTGTTTCTTTAATTTCACGTTACACTTCATTTTACTCCCTGATTGGCTAGAATTGGGAACCTGGGGGGGAATTAGTAAAGTGCCATAAACTGCTAATTCTGTAATTTAATTTAAATGAGTAACATTTAAAAAACTTGTTATCTCTCAAGTTTACTCACAATTTTGGTTGATTCCAAAATTAGACTTTCAAATTTAACGTTACGTAGAACTCGACATCGATATATATATATATATATATATACATTATATAGCATTATATACATATATTCGGTACTCTTAGAAACAATTTAATATAATACGCGCATGAATAATTTTCATTTATGGAATTTGATTTTTTTCATTCGGTTTTAAGCATAAATATTTCTCCGTCGAATCATAACTTAAAATATGAACGGCGCCCATTAAAAGAGCTTATTAACTATTCCTTCAAGAGTATAGTGCATGAATACGATAAAAATGTTAATAATCATTTACAATTTCAACCGAGAGAGAAAATAACAATCAGAATTGCTACCCCCCTAAAATTGGGCGTTCACTTTCTCCACAACTTTTAATCCCTGGTTCAAATTACTTTGTTGTCATAAATGTTTAAATAAAAACTTGTTAGATCAACTTTCATTTGTACATATATATACTTAAATTCTGTAATTCCGTTCAAACTTTAATTTTTAATCTCCCTTTTTTTATTATAACATGATATGAGTGTGTGTTAATACTATTAAATACAAATACTAAATACAAACACTAAATACAAACACTAAATACAAATACTAAATACAAAATATAAAATATATAACAAATAATATTTATATTATTAATAAGTTTGACTTTGCCTTTGACTTTTCCTTGTTATTTGTAAAAACCCATTTACAATTCACCACAGTCAACATGATAATAGTATTCGATGTATATTCTTTAGGTAACTTTGAATAAACTTTTCGTACTATATTAGCCACTTTTCCACTTGGACACCATATATGTAATATTTGTTTCCATATTCGTACTTTTAAAATGTTTCGTGTTGATGAATTTATTCCACTTAACTTTTTACTTAATAATCGATATGCGTCATGTTTTGTGTATCTTCGACGGTAGGAAAATGCTCTAGTAACTGAAACTCCTAGTAAAAATTGACTTGAATTCCGAAAGCTAACAAGGTAATCGGTCATTGGTTGATTCATGAAAAAGTATTCTATTTCCATCTATACATAATTTATAATAATTTACATAAATTTATATTTAAAAATTTAGTTTTAATTTGTTTTAATTTTAGGTTTAAAATTTATTCTTCAATATTCTTACCTCAGTCTTGTTTAATTCTACACCCAAGATCCTTTCCACAATTTCACATGAAAGTATTTCAGACAATTCACTCTGTCCTCCTGCATTTGGCAACATACTCATTCTCTACGCTCCAAATCCCCAATTAATATCTTTAAATAATTTTCTATGTACGTCAACATTTAAATTTACAATTACACTTTGATTTTTATCCGTTATACCAATATAAAGATTCGTTAAATCATTTGAGGATGTATAAACTGTCATATCTTCAAAGTTCACTGAAAAATAGTCGCCAATTTTTGAGGAATTGTTCAAGATAACTGTGTGAAAGGGAATAGATCTTTGTATCTCGTAAAAGGGTCGGATTTGCTCTTGGTGACGATCGGCTGATTGGATATAATCGTGATTCGTCACTATACGAGTATTTTTGCCCTGACTTTCCCTTCTCATCTTGT